CCCCCTTCCCCCCTCCCCTCTCTCCCTCTCATACCAGGAATCAAACTCGGGACCTTGCATTTGCCAGGCAGGCACGGTATCACTGAGCTAAATCCCTGGCCCTTCATTGATTCCAATTCTAACCTCATACTTTTACCAACTATAACTAATTCATATAAGCCTAGCCAAGCACAACTAGGCATTAGTAGTGACAAACCAATACAATTCCAGCCTTCTCAGTATTCACAGATAAGCAGGGACACAGGCACAGCTGAAGCCAGGCACCCCTTTCACTTGCCCTACACAGTCTTGCCCCAGGTTTACTGCCTCTGGGAAATTCTATCCCTTCATACTTCTCTGACCTCAGTAGTGTCTGCCTTCATATGCACGCATTTTAAATACACTTGTACCCTCCTTCTTCCTGTGTTTTGTTTTTGTTATTGTTCCCTGCCAGATGGGAGCTTTTTCTACTTTTCTTCCTACCAAAACACCTATCTCAGTATAGAGCCATAGTGGGCTTGAAGTATTTGCGTATTACGTTGATTAGAAGAAATTCACTACTTCAGCCATGATCTGTGGCTCACACCTATAATCCAAGCTGCTCAGGAAGCTGAGGCAAAAGGATTCAAGTGAGGCTAACCTGAGTAACCTTGTGAGACTCTGTATCAAAATGAAACCGGAAAAGGGCAGGTGATGTACTCAGTGGTAAAGCTTCCCTGGATTCTATCCCCAATGTCACAAGAAAGGAAAAAAGCCCAGAGAGAGAGAGAGAAGAAATTCACTATTTCAGCCTTCCACAAAACTGAAAGTGTCTCAGTGTGGCCAGCACCATGATTGGGCATTAGAGTTAAATGACTGTTCTGTCCACCAAGAGCCCTGATCTTCAAAACCTACACCTTTTAAGTTGGATCATCTGGCATCTTTGAATATTGGAAATAGTGAGGGATCACTGTGTGTTAAAGGAGATTGAATTTTGAATTAACTCATTTCTGAAACATCATCTGGTGCTTCTATCCAGAAGTGGATCATTTCAGTAGCCTTCATGAAATGAGTTGACTTTGTTCTTTGTACAGTTTGTGCCCGAGCATAAGCAAGCCTGGTTATTTAATGAAAACAAAAATAAACACAGGATCATAGGGCTGAGGATTTAGCTCAGTGGTACCACATCTGCCTCTCAAATGGAAGGTCCTGAGTTCGATCCCTGGTACCAAAAAACAAACAAATATAGGATCTTTTTTTTTTTTTTTTTTTTTTTTATACTGGGGATTTAACTTGGGTCCTTGCAGTTGCAAGGCAGGCCACCCAACCGCTGAGCTAAATCCCCGGCCCATAAATTTTTAGAACTCAAAAAAGTCAGCCAAACTAGAACCTCTTTCATACTCTACCCATATAAGATGGTCAGGAAATTAAGGACCCTAAAAAGTTCATTGATCCAGGTACAAAGCAACAGTACCAGAACTCGGGACTCTTGGTCCAGTTTTCTTAATGATAATATTTTAAACATAGATATTTGGTCCTATGATGTCTTTTCTCTTCCTTTTTGGGGGGAGTAGGGGTAGCAATTAGTATTGGGATAATAAGAATGTAGCCAGCTCCCATTTTATATGCTGCTGCCAAGATGCTTAATTAAGCCTCCTTGATGGCTAAGACTGTGCGTTTGAGCCTTATGTTTTTCAGAGAAGATCCAGAGAAATGAGGTATCTGAAATGACTCAGCATGTTACTCTCTTCCCCTCCCCTTCTCCCTGTTCTCTCTCCCTCCCTCCTTCCCTCTGTCTCTCCCCTGTCTCTCTTTTTTTTTTTTACCTTTCAGAAAACCGCAGCTTTTGGACCCTAAAAGGTCTGGACTGGTCGTACTGCTTTCTGAAAGGTAAAAAAAAAAAAAAGGCGGGGTAGAGATTGGCTTTGGTGGGTTGCAGCAGATTCATCTATTTCTTGTGCCAATTTAATACTATGCCGTATTTCTTTCAATATATAATTCTATAAACAGTTTGGTGTTGTATAAGTGGATAAAGTTATATATGAAATTATATATGAAGTCTACCTACATGAAAGGAAATGTCTTAACAGCTGAAGGGAGAATCAGCAGTAAAAATTAGGTATAGCTGTCCCTCAGTGTCCATGGGGATTGGTTCCAGGATTGCTGTGAATACTAAAATCAACAGGTGGTCAGGTCCCGTATATAATAGCAGAGGGTCTGCATGTAATCTGCACACATACTTGTGTATTTTATTTATTTTAAGGTGCCGTGGATTGAACCCACAGGCTTACCCATGTTAAACATGAACTCGTCAGCTGAGCTACACTCCCAGTCCCCTTCTCATGTACTTTAGTCGTCTTTAGATTACTTATATCTAAGACAATGTAAATGTGACATCAGTAGTTAAGTGTAGTGTTGAGGGAATAGTGGTGAGGAAAACATTTCTTCATGTTCGGTACAGGTGCAGTGCAAGCCCCTCTGCTTCTTAGTTTCTGTCTGATTCATTCAGCCTGTGGATGCAGAGCCCGAGGATGTGGAGAACCAGCTGTGTGGCAGCAGCTGGACTGGAGAAAAACAGAAGCTCCGACAGACCTTTAGTTTGGGATTAGTTTCATTGGAAACCAATTTTTATTGCATTCTCACTGATTATACTTTTTAATTTCCAAGTTAACTTCTTTTCAGAATTTGTTTCTAATTTAAGAGTTTTTTGGGGTTCCTTTGAATAAACTTCTAAATCATTGCTTCCTCCTGGCATGAAATTTTGAAGAGAAATATTTTACTGTCTGGGCAGTTTATTTGTAAAAGGTATCAAAGATAAGGATTTTTAGATTTTTTTTTTTTTTTTTTTTTTTTTTTTTTTTTTTTCTGTACTGGAGATTGAACTTGGGACCTTGCACTTTCAAGGCAGGTGTCGCTGCCACTGAGCTAAATCCCCAGCCCTAGAAAACTTTTTTTGAAAAGAGTGCTATCAGTTTTAGTTGATAATTTTGACTACTAAATTGAGCATTTAAGTTACATTACTTTTTTTAAATTATTGGGCCATCCAGGCATGGTGGCATGCACCTGTAACCCCAGCACTCGAGAGTCTGAGGCAGGAGAATGGCCATGAGTTTGAGGCCAGCCTGGGCTACCTGATGAGTTCAAGACCATCCTGAACTATATAACAAGACCCTGTCTCAATAAAACAAGAAAGAGTAGAAATCTAAATTTTTAAAAACAAAATAATTAGGGCAGCCAGAAGTCATAGGGTATACCTGTATCTTAGCGTGACCTTACCAGGCCCAGATCATAATACCACTGCTTTAACCTCTGCTGAGTGGAAAATGCAGTAGACAAATAATGAGCTACTACTGGGTATGGAAATTATAAAGAATTGTCCCTAGAAATTGGTTTAAACAAATATTTTCATAAAATAAAAAGTATGCTTAAATGTAAAGGTAATTTAAACTTAAAAAGAGGGGCTTATTAATAAACCAATCATTTGGAACATGAGCTAATTTTTTTTCCCCTTTTCAGAAAGACAACAAAGTTGCTGCATAGTCTTCAAACAAGTCTTTGAAAATGGGTGAATTTGTAGCTCTTCATGGTCCTGAAAATTGATTTCAGTCTTTGTGAAGAAGGAAGAAGTGAATTTGCTGTATATTTGTCACCAGCACTGGGTTTTGTTTGTTTATTTTTCTGCTTAATTTCAACGATACAACACAATTTCCTTTTGTGGGGAGGAAGGCTCATCTTTATAAATGAGCATTAAATATATTTGGAATAGCAGAAGGTTAAGTAATTTCTTATGTATAGATAAACTAAAGCAGTACTTCAGTGGGACTTATACGTATTTTTTCATCACTGAGAGGATTTTTCTTATCACTAAATTGTATTTGGCAATTATTGCAGGTTGCCTGCAGATAGGGCCGTGATACTGTGTTTTGAGCCACAGAAGATTGTGCGTGTGTATGTATGTATGTGTGTGTGTCTTTCTTTTCTTTTTGGAAATCTTATGAGGTAGCTTATTTCGTTGATTAATTAGGGTGCTGGATGGTAGAGAATTTTGTCAGTCAACTATGTACACAGTAAATACCGTTTCTTAGGCAAAGGTAACTTTTTTATATAGTTGTAAAATTCCATTATATTCCATTGCCAAAGAAACATTAAGAACTTTGTATAGCTGTATAAAAAGCAACTAATTTTTTAAAGAATAAACATTTTAAAGTCAGTAAACATACTGTGTCTTTGCAGAAGTTGATGTGCTGAGGAGGAAAGTTATGGGTGGATCTCTCTTTTTTCTTAGCTTTCCAGGCTTAAGATTTTTTAATTTCTGTTTTTAAAAATGAAGATTTGATACATTCTTCCAAAAGGGTAAATTATTCGTGCTCAGTCTAAGAACTTCATTTTGTAGCAAATGACGTATCACAGGATTTGTTCAAATAATAGATATTTTCAGTATACAAATGTAAATAATCATAGATAAGAATGTACTTTGCTGTATTTTCAAATAAGTAACCCTCCTCCCTTTTTTAAGACATTGAAACTAGGTATCAATTAACCTGCTCTTCCTGATATACCTGGAATTTTGTTGTGATAATGTTTCATTCCATTAATTTTAAAAGCATTCAGAGTGCTCAAAATTATTTCAGCAACCATAACTTGTATTACATCATTAATACTTTCTGTGGGCCTGTAACCCACAAATGACTCAGAATAGAGTTCATTTCTAATTATAAATTACTAATCAGTCTTTTTGATATTTTAGCTATCATGGAAAAAATTAGCCACTTTGTGTTTTTATGAAGGCCATGGAATAAAGGTATCCAAAGATTTAAATATTTTTATCTATTTTGATTTTTGTTAATGTTACTCTTAAAACATACAGTAGATAAAGGTGTACAAAACTTCACAGTAGCAGAATTGGAATATTTAAAGATGGTTGACATTTTTAATTTTATATCTTTTGTATAGCTCTACAATGAAATGTTTTGTAATTTGGTTTCATTACTAAGATCCAGTATTTGGCAGCCATAGTTTAGATAATATTGTTTAGTACTATTTGCTTGCATGTTAACAACATAATCTTTGGAGGACTCACAAATCATGATATTGAACACATTTCTGAGGCATTCTGAGCATCACAGCAAATGCTATGGCAATACTTGAGTAGACTAAACTGTTCCAGGCTGATTTCAAGAAGAAAAACTGTAAAATAACAGCTCTATGTGCTCTGAAAGTATGAATTCATGTGTTTTCCCAGCCCTCTGGGTCACTGATTGGGGGCATTTGTTGTCCCAGTAACAACTGGCATCATGACATACCTGCAGTGCACCTTAATATTATATTAGCAAGGTTTTTATTCTAAAACAGAATAAAACTGTTAAATAAAAAATGTTCGTCAAAGTTCTTTCTCTTAAATAAATTTTCTTTCAATAGAAGTATAATGAAAAGCATTATTAAAACAGATCTGAATTGGGGCTGGGGATTTAGCTCAGTGGCGCCACAACCTGCCTTGCAAGCACAAGGTCCTGAGTTGAGTGTCTGGTATCCCCCCACAAAAAAAAGATCAGAATTACAATAGTTTTTGGTTTTTTGCTACCAGGCATTGAACTTGGGTCCTTGTGCTGTGAGGCAGGCAGCAGAACCACTGAGCTAAATCCCGTGTCCCGTTTTTATTTTGTTTTGTGGAGACAGGGCCTTGCTGCATTGCTCAGACTGGTCTTGAAGTTGCAGCAATCTTTCTGCCTCAGCCTACCCAGTGCTGATACTATAGGAATGCACCACCACACCCAGCCAAAATTAGGATAGTTTTATGTTCAGTGATCACTAAATCAGCTTCTGACTTTTATTTTTCCAAGATGTATTTATTGTTAAAAAGCTCAAAGTCTCTTTCTCTTCTGAGTGTAAGCACTCCTAATAAGATCTGTGACATGAGGCTACTAAGCCAACCACAAACAGCCAAGCTATAAACCAGTCCAGAATAGACCCTACCCTGTAGGCATTTAGGTGTAGAAGATGCAAAACTTGAGCTGAAGGGGTATTGCTAAGTGGTATAGCACTTTTCTAGCATGTTTGACGCCCTGGATTCAGTTTCCAGCATTGAAAAAAAAAAAGAGGAAAAAGACAAAATGCAAAACTTGTCTGTTAGACTATTTCTTCCTTCAAAGTCAGGACTTATGTAAGTGGTAGAAAAGGAATGTTAGTCCACCTCACTGGCTCCTGATCAACAGTTGAACTGACACCTAACAAGTAAGGGATGTGTTTTGGTTATTACAGTGACCAGGGACTACCCACTGGTATTTTAAGAGTGACAGGTTAGCTATCCATGGTGGAGCACACCTGTAATCCCAGCACTTGGGAGGCTGAGGCAAGAAGATAACAAGTTCCAGACATGGCGAATTCCAGCTTGGCCTAAAGTACATTGCAATACCCTATTTCAAAACATCTGAGTTACAAGTCAGAGATGCTAAGTGTGCTAGCTGTGCTGTGCTGGACGGTGCCGCATGGAAAGACCATGAATGGGGAATTTTTTTCCTGCCAGCTTTCAAATAAATTTTTACTACTTAAAAAATTTTTATCCCACCATGGAAGGAGGGAAAAAGTTGTCTTTACATGGGCTCTAAAAGGATAATGTATAAAGCTGGGGATTTGTCTCAGTGGTGCCACCACCTGCATTGCAAGTGCAAAGGGCCTGAGTTCGATCCCTGGTACCCGCCCCCCCCCAAAAAAGGTCAATGTATAGAGGGATCTTATTTCCTGTAGTACTCTCATTTTGGAAACCCATTATCATAGTAGTCACTACTTTATCATGTCTTCTATCAGTGGTTCCCAAATCTTTAATCAGAATCTGTGGGATTTCCCCACCGCCTGTACTGGGGATTAAAGCTATGGCTTTCATCAAGAAAGGTAACCTTGATACTTTCAACCTCCTAGCAACTAGTGATGTCACAAGCCCTCCTAGTGATGTCACAGGCTCCACCAATCACTTAATACTACCTCATTCAACTCCACCCCAGCCCAGACTAACCCCCACTCAGCTCTTATAAAAGAAGCTACCATGTTGCTTTAGTCTCCTTTGTTCAGAGACTTCCTGGCAGAGACAGTAAAGGCTTCTTATGGTCCTGGAATTTAAAAAAAAAAATAAAAAAAAAACTTACAGCTTTCACAAAGAGCTACATCTCCAGCATTTTTGCTGGCTGCATTTGTGATCCTCTTGTCTCAGCCTCCCAAAGTATTGGGAGGATTGGTACTTCCAGAGTATTGGTATTATGCACCACCACTCCTAGCTTTAAGGAGCATTTTTATTTTATTTTATTTGTACTGGGGATCTAACTCCGGTCCTTGCTCTTGCAAGGCAGGCAACAGAACTACTGAGCTAAAAACCCCAGCCTTTGAGCATTTTTAAGATACAGATTACCATGCCCAACCCCCAGACAGTGATTCTGAAGTTCTCTACTGGGGCCTGGGAATGTCTTTTATTAGTCTCTCAAACGGTGCTGTGAGATATTAGTCCCGGGGGTAACCATGTTTGAAGAGATAATTAGACAACACAGGTGGCTCATCTAATCTAGCCCCCTCCTTTGAAAATATTGGTAGAATTGCTACAGTAGGGTTATCTTATTTTCCCCATCCTTCCAGGTCCAATATACAGGTTATATCTGCAGCATAAAGAGAGGGAAATGACTTCAGTGGAAGGGGGAGATTTCTATGGAACAGTCTAGGGAATGCAGCAGTTAAGACTCAAAGTTTCCTTCAGGACCTGACTGCTTTGAGTACTGAGACTTTTTTTATTCCTGGGATAGAGCAAATGAGTGTGTTGTTTGTCTCTTTATTTACATGGCTGTTATCCCTTCCTCTGGGTTTTCTGCTGTTGGAAAAACTGCCTCTGTGGGATTCCTGTGTTCACAGCATAAGCTGAGAAGCAGCCTGTCCTTTTCCTAAAAAGGGTTATTGAAGTTCTACTCACTCTTCAGATCAAATATGCGTGGATTCAATGTGGATCCTCATACTCTTTTCAGACATTAAACTGTAAAGGTGAAAAGCCACTATAAGGTAATGAAGGTGAATGGTCTTTTCCTGTAGGAGTTCAGATGTCACCTGTTTGCTTTGTTTACTATTATAACTATTTTTAGATGAGGACAGCCAGGCATGCTGTTGCAAGTTGATATTCCCAGCATTTGCGAAGGGAAGCTGAGGCAGGCAGGATTGTTGGTTCAAGGCTAGCATGGGCTATATGATGAGTCCCCATCTCCAAAAACTAGAAGTAAAAAATGGCAAATATTGGTAAAATTGGAATCAGACTTCCGGACAGATGTACCATTAATCTCTGAATCTGATGGCATTAAATGGGGACTTAGCATTGGTTTCTCTCCAAATGGAGACATGGGAACAATTTGGAAGAGATATCATCTCGGTCAGCTGAGGGGAGGCGCGGGAGAGCTTTCAGCAGCTAAGGCCAGACAGCCAGCAGAAGGCTGGAGGTGCAGGGCTCAGGCACTGCTCCTTTGGGAACAGTCTGGGCCTTCTGAGGAGGGGTGTAAAGGTTCTGTTTATCTGAGCTGGTGTTAAGAAAAGGAGGCTTGTGGTTTTGAGACATGTAAAAATTGCTCCAAGAACATGAGGTAGGACTGTGAATCTAATGTGGTTTCGTTCTCCGTGATGGTGCAAAGCTATGAGCCAGTGGTATGGGTGTCCTTTAAATTCCAGCTCAGTTCATGTTTAATGAAATTGGCTGACTGAAAAAAATACTTTCAGGTTTAAGTCATAAACATCTCAAAATAGACCTGAGTCTGATTCCAGGTCATAATGAACATTGACTTTAAAGAAATGCTTTAAAATATACTGATGCTCATGTGGTTTATAGAGAAACAAAGCAGCTCTGTGAGGCCAGAGCGTATTTCATTTCAATAATAAGGCTTTCTTGGAGTGACTCATAGTCACTCATGGTTTAGTGGCACAGAAACAACTGAGAGCAGCCAGCAATGAGTACATGCCCAGAAAGCTTTGCCTTCTCTTCCAGACTTGAGCAATCTGGGGGTAAAAATGCCAGTCTTGAGGGACTGTGAGAAGCCTGAGCCCTTGGAAGATTGTAATAAATTCCAGTGAATGTTTTTTACATTTACTGGAGGACAGAGGACAAACATGTTTACTAGGTGTCGGACTATACCTCTGTAATCCTGGTACTTACCTAATCCACATGATCCTTGGGTGCCAGCCTCATACAGGATTGTTGATGAGAATGCACATCCTAGCTTTGAAAATCGGGATTTTGCTTCTGCT